ATATGGTGTGTAGTTTATCCCAAACTTCCTTACCAGTAGTGCACGTGGATACTAACATAAAATCTTCAGAATTTAAAGCACATAAAAAGCAATTTAAAGATTTTGCATTCAATTGAGCATTTACTTGTTCTTCCCTATTCCATTGATTAAAAGGAATATCAATTTTAACTCTATTAACAATACGTGACGGTGATGAATAACCAGTTAAAATCATATGCCACATGCGAAAATCAATCGATTGCAAGAAAATAGACATGCGAGTTTTCCAAAAATTAAATGTCATATTTTCAAATAAAGGAGGTCTGGTGATTGAATAACATTTCGCAACATTACGATTAGAAAAATTAGCCATGAATTAAAATTCAAAAGCTTTTTAAAATTAATTTTTATGAATCCTGCTCTGATACCACTTGAAAGTTCGTTAGGGATGTTAAGCCCTATAGAATTGGCCCAAGCTAACCAAGAGAAAGGTGAATTGGATAACTTTAAAACCAAAGATAAAACTAAATCCAAAATCACCACGAAAAAACAAGTGCGGAAGAAAGTAATGCGGAAGCAATAATAAGAAAAGAACACACCGGATTTATAGTGGTTTGGTCAAACCTTGACCTACGTTCACTCCTTGGCGGCACCCTCCAAGTATTGCACTAAAATAAGTGTCTCTCCTTTTGCCCCCACAGCTAGGCGGAGAAGCCCTTACAAAATCACTTCTACCTTCCCCGGTGCGGCGGAGTAGTCGGGTCCTTTGACACCAAGGAGATCTTCTTCTTTGGTGAACTTACCTCGAGACAAGCCTTGAATCTGATGGTACAAAGGTATGAGTTCGCCGGAGCAACCGTGTGGAATCCCCTCCACACTCCCTTGAGTTCCTCCCCCTCACAGGTTCTTCTCCCTCTCAAACTCTACCCTTTCCTCTCTCCCTTTCAAGCTCTCTCTTCAAGTCTCCCCCACAAGAATTAAGCTTCAATGGCTGCCAAAGACTCTTATAAAAGTTTCCATGCCATAGCTTAAATAGAAGCTCTCAAAATGAGCTCATTAATGCAAGTTGCCAATATTATCATCCAGGATGATAGGCATATCATCCTGGCCGATTAGTTCAAATTCAGCTCAACGGCCTGGGACGATTTGGGATGATCAGAAGAAAATTCATTATATCGTCCTGGCCGATCTCACGATTATCCTGGCCAATTAGTTTAAAATTGATTTTAATCGTCCTGATCATCGCCCTGATTTGGTGCTGGCCAAAGTCAATCATCTAGGCCATCATCCTGGCCGATCATAAGATCGTCCCGAACGATGTGATTGTATCAATCATCCATTAATGATTTCCAAATAATTCCATATCAATTTAGGTATGATTGAGTTAGATCGTCCTTGATGATATAAATACAGTCCTGGCTGATTCCCTAAAATAAAGAATACCAAAAATGATTATGGCGGATGATTCTTTCTGAATTGAGAATATCATCCTGGCCGATACAAGTATCGTCTAGGCCGATGTGTTTATGATGGTTGCTTTAATGAGGATGCCCTAATTCAAGTTTCTTATTTTGGACATATCGTCCCGGCCGATATTACCAAAAATAGAAATCTTTTAGGGAACAACAGAAAATCTTTCAAGTTACAAAACACCAGATGCCACACCAAATACAACAGACTCAAGAAAGGAAAAAGATTAGAAACTGACACAGACCTAGTTTACCCAATCTTGAGCTGGTTCCAAATTGCAGTCTGATCGTGTGGACCTGAAACGTTAGAACATAAGGCAATCGTAGAAAAATAAGGAATATTTGTTATCATCAAAATCATAAACCATAGATCCGCAACATAGGGGTCCATGTGGCTGCTGCGACCGCCTACTCAACAGCAGGTTCGACATCTACTACAAAAGAAAAAGAATAGAGAGAATCCACTGAAGATGACTACACCTCTGCTAGGAAGCATGTGGAATGGCCGAGAGCGGACCCTTTTGGATATATAATCCAAGCCGAGAGTGGAGTTACGTGAACAACCATCTAATGGAAAATAACTTTCATGTTTGGTTTAGAGAAAACTTTTTTTGTTGAGAATTCCTCATTCCCTTTTATGTGAATTCCCCAGCGGCGAATTACAAACTTGTGCGGGCTCTATCTATTAATTCTCTTGAGCCTTGAAGAAAACCCCCTTCTCCCTCAGACTCGATCTCTCTTTTGATACCATATATGTCATCGGGCGGCTGGAAGGTTACCATGAGTAAGGTTGGGAGACTAAAGGC